TGTGTCTCTCTCTGGTCAAATTAAAAAAGAAAATAATGAGCGAATAAATTAAATAAAATAATTATTTAAAAAAAGAAGTAATGGGACCTTTCAATCAATTTTAAGAAAATAATATCTTTAAATTCCATACAGTTGTCTTAAATGCATCTTCGATTCTTTGTCATTTCTTTTTTTTGGATTTTGATTATCTTTCTGGAACACATATTATTTGGCTATCTCACTTCCAGATGTGTTGTAATCTCTTTGTGCTTTGTCTAAAAAACTCTTAAGTTTTTTTTTAATATATCTTTGAGGTTATGAGTTGGCAAACTAGAGCCTGTGGGATAGCCATTCATTTTTCTATATATCTAACTATCTAGATATTCCAGTTCTATTGGAATTCATATTGATTCTGCTACAATTGCTTAGTTGAGTAGTTGTATCTGGTGGTTTAAGGGAACGTTTGTTGACATCTTTTCTAAGAGATTTTTTTTTCTTTATGTCTTCCAAACTCATATTTTTAACTTCCATGAGTTCTGTTTATAATTTCTTGTTCATAATTTATGGTTATAATCTTTTATAGTATTTTTCTGAAGCTATATTTTTTTTTTTCTTTTTTTAAAAATTTATCAATACAGTATGGTTTCTTTCTTTCAGTGCTTTTTCCTTATTTCTTTTGTATCTATTATATTAACAGTTTTGCTAAGATGACAGTTAAGTCTTGGTCACCTGTTCATATTCAAGATTAAGATACTCAAATGCTTAAAATTCTGTGCATTTAAGTGGATTTGTTATTGTGGGCTTTCTAGAATGGTGATCTAGTGAGAATATTTTCTTAGGGAATTCTCCTTTTTTTTTGAGAGGTTTTTGCTATAGGACATGTGTGCTCGCCAGAAAGACAGAGAGACAGAGAGACAGAAAACAAAATAACCCCCCAGGGGAGATGGCCACGCCACAATCCCTTCTCCTCCATTCTACTTTGGGGATCTTGGGCACACATGCACATGTGCCCGGCATGAGTTTAAGCCACCAGGTCCGGGACTCGAACTGCAGTCAACCACATGGGAGTCCAGCAACATAACCATTACGCCATCTGCTGGTCCCATTTAGGAAATTCTTAATGGCAACATCTTTATGTATTTTCCCCTTGTGCTGGTCAGATTCTTTCTAGCTATTATAAGCTTGACTTCTGTGATAACTCAAATTGTGTAAGAGGACTGAGAAGTCTTTTTTTCCCCTCTGTAGGGTGAGTGTGCTTACCAGAGACAGAGAGACATAGTGAGAAGGGAAGTGAGAAATCACCTCCTACCTCCCCCTCTGGGGGAAGGGCTATGCCACAATCCCTTCTCTTCCATTCCTCCTCTGGGAATATTGGGCACACATGCTTGTGCGCCCAGTGTGGTTCTCAAACCAGCAAGTCTGGGACTCCAACCCTGGTCACCTCATAAAATAAGTCTTAATAAATTTAAAGGGTTCTAGTTGAAGTTTGTCCTCCCATCACACTGACATTAAATTATAAATCAGTTTAAAAACATATCTTGAAGATCTATAAATATTTGAAAACTAAGTAATAGACTTCTACATAATTGACATGTCAAAGAAATTAAAAGAGAAATTAGAAAAGTATTTTGAATTTTACGAAAATAAAAAGGCAATGTGAGATGCAGCCAATGCTATATTTATTGGGGAATCTACAATATTAAATTGCTATATTGAAAGAGAATAATTGTCTTGTATTAATGACTTAGTTTTTACTTTAGAAACCAGAAAAATAAAAGCCAATAAATCACAAATTATGAAGAAGAAAGGAAATAAATAGTAGAACATATTTTAATGGAATTTAAAATAGAGAAAAGCAATGAAATTAAAAAGTTTCTGAACAGCGATTTGACAAAATCTATTATCTGCAACATTTAGTGATATCCATCTTTATAGATGCAAAGACCCGTGACCCATCAGTTCTCCTTATAGTAATTCTGTATTTTCTATACATATGTGAGAAAAGATATGCACACTCATATAAGGATACGTCACTACCTTGTTGGTAATAGCAAACAATTAGAAACAACTCAACATACATCAGACGTTCACCAGTTCAAGAAATTATTGTACCTCCACATAATGAAACACTATGCTATTGTAAAAACTGAAGATACTATTTATGTACTAATATGACTTCCAGAATTGATTGATGAAATAAGCAGAAAGTGAGTGATGTAATAGTATGCTATTAGATGGTATAAAACAGAGGAAGGCCCAGCCATGGCAGTGAGCACTGGTAGACAGTGCTACTTGACAGGCTCAGGCTACATGGCAGGCCTGGGTTTGATTGTCAGTCCACCCTAAAAGCTAGATGTGGTAGCCTGTGTTTGTAGTCCCAGCTACTTGGGAGGCTGAGACAGGAGGAATTTGACATTGCAAGATTCTGTCTTAAAAAGAAATGAGGAAAAAATAAGCCTCCCACCAGGTTACATGTAGCAGTATCTGGAGAGAGTTTGGTTGTCATTTTTGGGGTATGGGTGTGTGCTACTGATATGTAGGAGTGAAGGGCTGGGAGGTGGCTAAACTGCGTATAATATATAAAATAGCAAAATATAATTATCTGGCTCAAAAGGTCAGTCGTTAGAACTGAGGTTGAAATACTGCTCTAAAGTCCCTCTTTTGAAATTTCCAGGATCTTTTTGATCTTAGGGTTTCATGAAAACTTTTGTGTCCATTCTGTTCATTCATGGAAGTATCATAAAATACGATCTGATCCTTTTCTAATTCTTCATACTTCCATACTGGGAAGTCCTGATATTGTAGATTGTCAGTATTCTGCTTGATTCCTTTAGAAGTCCAAATTCAACTGTTTAAATCATAAACTGACTATAAGTGCCCAAGTGGTTTCAGGTAGTATGAGAGATGGTACCATAGGAGGGAAAAATAGTGCAAAGTGACTATTTTGTCACTCTCAAGTGACGCCTGGTCTGCTGAGAGAGAGTATACAAAGTAATTGACTTTTCAATTCATTCTTTCACTCAGGAACTTGTAGTTATTCAGGAACCAAAGGTATTCAGGAACCAAGGGAAAATCCAGGGTCACCACAGTCGTATGTAGGTGGGAAAGCTTGGCAGGAACTTCAGAGGTTAACATGTGGATTTTCAAAAAATTATGCTCAATCTATTGGGTCATTGAAAAGTCACAATGTATTTTTGCATAGAAAAACATAAAAAAAAATCACGACTCTTC